GGCAAGCAGGAAAGAAATGGAGCAGAAGGCAAAATAACTCCTAAGCTCAAGGTAAGACATCCTTAAAAAGCTGGGTTTTGGTGAAAATTGATAGAATATGGTGAAAAATAGAAGGGACAGTTCAACCCTGCTGAGCTGGTACATCCTTTTTCACACTGGAGATCAAATTCCTCTATGGAACATGCATTATCACTTGAACAGCTCCTTTCCTTGCTGTTGGAATTCCTTCTTCCTTCACCTTTTCTGATCCTGGAGTTGAGTTGTCTGTGCTTTAATCACAGGGAAATATCTGCTAATTAGCATGGCAGAGCCATTAGCATCCTTTCAAGTGTGATCTTTTTTTATTCCAGCCAGCAGCGTTTCTCCCTGTTCCCCAAACAGTTTGTTCCCTGTGCTCACTCCTGTGCTGAGATCAGTCTTGGCARGCCTGGCAGTGTGGCTGTAAATAGCAGACGTGGTGAATGTGCAGGGGGTGGGAGCTGCTTGAGCAGGCAGCACATCCAAGCAGGAAAAGTTAACTCSTGGTGTTTGCTTCCCAGCTCAGGTGGAAATGCAGGAAAGAAGATGAGACRGGAGGGGGATACTCCAAAGATGTGCTGCTGCAGATCCTGCAAAAGGTCCTGTCTGACACTCTTCCCTGTTATTGGGTCTTCCCCTGCTGTAAGGATAGTGAATTCTGGGAAGCTACATATCACAGAATCATGGAATGTTGGGTGGARGTTTCCTTAAAAATKATTCYRTCACACCCCCTGCCATGGGCCRGGACACCTTCTTTAAACCAGGTTGTTCCAARCTCTGTCCAGCCTGGCYTTGAACACTTCCAGGGATCCAGGGGCAGCCACAGCTTCTCTGGGCAGGGCCTTACCACCCTCCCAGGGAAGGATTTTATTTTAATAATGTAATCTAAACAGCCAGTTTGAAGCCATTCCCTGTGTCCTGTCACTCCACTTGTAAGCTATAAACTGGAGTGGCTAATTTTCTTCCCTGTTCAGCTTTCTCATGCMGTTTTCAGAGCTCATCAGCATGATCATGGAGTCATTAAAGTTGGAAAAGATCTCTTAAATCATCAAACRCAACCTTTGAACCAAGTCGGATCCTTTGATCCAGGTGCTGGGAGCTGTTTCCCTGCTAACAGCTCTGCCTGGCTCCCAGCAGGGACTCCTGCTGAAGCAGAGCAACTGCAGACTCTTCCCACTGGATGCTTCCTGCCCACTTAGTCTGGCTGTKTGGTTGTGGTGCACTCATCTTTCACATCCATCCCTGCTGTGGGAAGTGTAGAGACAGGCACAGACAAGCCTTTGATCTGATCAATCCCAGCCTGGCATCTTTATTTCCCCTCTGAGCTCAGCAGCTCTCTTGCACTGGGGCTTGTTGGGAGCTGAGTGTGTAGCTCCATGCCTTCCCAGATTATTTCTTGGAGGGACAGAAACGGTGGCAGGGTGGGATCAGTGGAAGCAGGATAGAAATGGTGACAGCCCAAGCCCCATGTCTGTGAAAACACACGTTTTCTCTTTGTGTTTGTTTGATAAATGAACTTGACATCTCTCCTGGCTCTGTAATTAACTTYCCTTCCTTTCTTTCTTTCCACAGTATGGTGACGTGCTCAATTTGTTGATCTCCAGCAGGAGGACTGGGAGCGCAGTGGTGGAATTTGCCACCGTGAAGGCAGCTGTGAGTGTGCAGAGCCCCTGCTGGGTGTGCTGGGGGTGGCACAGGACAGGGTGACAGCCTGGACACAGCCCTGTCATTAAGGCAGTGGAGAAGGGTAATGAGAGTCTAAAGGCACAGAGGCACAAAGGGAGTGGCAGAGCTGGAGGCACAAACCCGGAGATCAGGCACATAAACAAGCAGSTTGTGCACAGAACAGGCTGAGGGAAGAGGCACTGCCTTAAAAATCAGGCACTGAGCACTTACTCAGCTCTCTCTGAAGGTGAATTASCTTGGAGTTGGGCTTAGGTGTTTTGGAGGTGATATCAGGCAYTTGCAGTGGAAAACAACCCAAAATGTCCTGACTCCCTGTGTGGGAGCAGAAATCACTAGTTAACCTCAGTTTTAGTAGTCCCATCAACTTCAGCTGTACAAGATCTCTATTTGTTGTTAGCTGTTCTTTCACTCATGTCCAAGGAATAAAACACCCCAGAATGGTGTGTGACCTGTTTATCAAAGRTATTGGCAGGGCTATGGACCATAAAGGTGCTTCCCATATGAAACCTGAGTATCATGGAATAGTTTGGGATGGAGGAGTCCWTAAAGATGATCTAATTCCAATGAGTCTTATAGAATGGAATCATAGAATGGTTTGGCTTTGAAGGGGCCTTGAAAGGTCATCTGTTTCACACCTTCCACTAACCCAGGTTGCTCCAAGGCCCATCCAGCCTGGCCTTGGACATTTCCAGGGATGGGTCTTGGCCTTGAGGTCAGTGCAATATGGGAAAAAGATTGTTAGTGACCTGAAAGGGAGCAGGGTCTGAAATTCAGGTGCTGATGGAAGAATCTCTTCCCTACCAGGAGATGGCTGTGCAGAATGAGGTTGGCCTGCTAAATAACCCCCTGAAGATTTCCTGGCTGGAGGGGCAGCCCCGGAGCCAGCRCAGCACCGTCCTCCCTGACAGCACCAGCCAGCCCAGGACCTCACAGGTGAGGAAAACGGGCTGTGGGATGGAAATCTGGTGCTGTAACAACCTAAATCTCAGTGTGCTCCCTAGCTGTGGTCAGATAGAAGCTCTTGATGCCAGGCCTGGCTCTCTGTGCTGGATCAGTGGCTTTTTTTTTTTTAAGAACCTCTTGTCTGGACAGCAGCAGGCTGGGGACTGGAGCTATTTGGGTGACTGGATCTTCACACGTTCCCTCTCTCCCAAGTGAAAAACAAGGGTGTTCCTCACTCAGCCCAAGGCCTCCAGTGCCATTCTGATGGGATTTTTTAATCTGTTTTGACTGTTGGAATCCTCTGAGTGAGCACTGCTGAGAGGTTCCTTTAGAGAGCCTGTGTTCACAGGGGGAGGAAATTTYAGTGCTGGAAGGAAACTTCCATTCTCAGGGTGTGCAGGAGGGAGGAGAAAACAATATAAACTAAATACCCTTTTGTGTCTTTACTCCCTAATTTTTTTAAGGTTGTGAGATTGTTCAGTGCATTCAGTCTCTTGATATTTTCATAAGTACTTTATTGACATTGTTTGTATTTATGCATCAGAATGGCTGGTGGTTATCCTGTCCATATAGGACCAGGGAGACTCCTGCAGCCACAGAGTGCTGGGAAGGAAACTGGGGCAAAAAGCAGAGCCCAAACCACATGATTTGGGAATTTCTCACTAGCAGAGGGTGAGATCTATCTCATTCCTACTGAAGGGGCTTGCTGGTACAGTTGGAACTCGGCAGTGGCTTGCAGCCTCTGTGGGTTCAGATCCCTGCGTTTGTCTTGGCCTGTTTCCACCCCTGAGGCTTGTTAGTGTGGAAGTGCAGCGTCTGCCCGTGGTGTGGGATTAGTGTGGTGGGGCAGCAGGGAGAGCAGGAAYGCAGCACATGGAGCTGCTGACTCACTCACCTCTGTCCAACACAGCCTTCTCAATCCCCCCTGCCTCTGGGAATGGTGAGGAGCTGCTGCCAGGGCTCTGCATCCTCCCCAGGAGTTGCACTGCTGGTGCTTGGCTGTCCTTCCTGCTGCACTTGCTGGGATTGCAGGGCAGCCCTGGCTCTCCAAGTTCCTCTGCTTCCTGTTTTCCCTTGCTCCTACTCCAGACCCTCCCCAAATCCCCCTGCTGCATCCAGTAGGATGCTGCCACAACCTGTAATGGGTTAACAGCTCCTCTTGGCTGATCTGCTCCCAGCTGACTTAATTTGTGCTCTACAGCTCAAGAATGTGCTCAGTGAGCTTCCACATCCCTGTTCCCTCTCCCTTTCACACCCAGCCTGGCTTCCCAGCCACCAGGCTCCCCGTTCTTGCTTCCAGGCTGCACTTACCTCATTGTGATTTAAGCTGCCCTTGCTTCCTATTCACTTCCCGGCTCTGTTTTTGTCTGAATACACCCCCGTTCTGTTCCCACTCTGCCAAAGCAGCTCCTTCCCTGCTCTGCTTCAGGAAACAGCCCAAACCTGCAGCGTTCTCATGGCAACATGCTCACTACTCATCCTCTGCTCCCTGTCTGGGACAGGCAGCCGAGTACTCCCTGCCTGGGAGAGCCAGCCAGGACCTGAGTCCTGCCAAAATTCGCAGGTAAAGGGCAGCCAGACCCTCGCCAGGGRGGTGGGAAGCAGCTCCCAGGTGGAAGCTGTGCTGTGAGGAGGTGGCTGTGTTTCCACAGCCTGTTTGTCTCCTACAGCAACAGGTGCACGTTGTCCAGCAGTTCCTGGAGAGCTGCTGGAGCCGAGCAGGCTCCAGTTCCCCTCRGAATTCAAAAGCTGTGGTTTGGCCAGTGTTACTCCAGGCTATTGAGARCACTGGCTGTGTGATGGTTCAAAGCACACAGCGGCTGTGGAGAGCTTGTTTTGCCACTCCAACAGCATGGAACACTCAATTTTGGGAAGGTTTTYCCTGCTCCTGCAGTGGGATCTTCCTGCCTGTGCTCCTCAGCYATTCAGCCCTGAGAAGAGCCTCCTGCCTGGCACTCCTGCACCTTTTCCAAGCTCCTTGGAGGTTTCAGAGGGTTTGTTTCCTCAATCTGACTTCCAGGGTAAGAGGCAGCTGTGCCTTCTCTGGACCGCCCCTGTGCTTTGCTGTGGCCACTTCCAAAATTCTTGGTTATCTGGGGGCATGGAGGTCTTGTTATTGTTATTTTTTATTGTTATTATTTTTATTGTTATTATTTTTATTGTTATTTTTTAAAGGAGCCCTAATAGTCAAAAAGGTAAGAACTGGTAGTTTCTGCAGGTCCTTTTAACAGTTTGTTCTCATGCTGCCCCAAATGTTCTCAGCCTCCCAGAGCCCTTCCCACTGTCCAGCTCGGAGTGGGGAACTGTTCCTGTCTTGCCCCAAGCTGTGTGAGTTCTCCTCTGGGGAAAATCAAGTCCCAGCAACTCTGTCATGCCCCCAGCCCAGGAAAGCAGAGCCACACYGGTTCCCACCCCTCATAAAACCCTGCAGTGCCAGGAAGGGTGGATCTGGGCCACCTCAGATACCCTATGCTCCTGGTGCCTGGGATTTCTGTGCCTTTTCCCAGTGAAATGAGGCAACCAGACACTTCCAGTCACAGATACATTTATTCTTCCATGTCTGTACAGCTGGGAGCTCAGTGCATGCGTGAGGCAGCAGGGTCRGAGACATCTCTTCTCCTGCCAGGAGGATAAATCCACTGCTGGTGCTGTGTCAGGAGCCTACATGGATGCTTACCTGTTTCCAGGCTGGGAGTGACACCTGCACTGGAGTTAGGGGAAAAGAAACCCACAAGGAGGAGGAGAAAAAAACGCAGGAACAGCTTTGAGCTTTCACATCCAATCATGGTGGGAGGAGAAGCCCCAGGTCCCATCTCTCGGCCATCTGAGCTTTGGCTTTGGGGTGCAGTGCTGCTGGCTCCTTGCAGGCTTCCTGCTGTCCCACCAGTGAGCAGTGCCAAATCCCYGTGTGTCCCTGCCCCGCAGTGTCACATCCCCAAAACAAAAAGTCTCTCCCAAACAGTGCCAGTCTTCCCTGAGGAGGGGATGTGCAGTCCGGAGTGGGAAATTCCCGGGGTGGAGAGTGGAAAGTTGCCCACGAGACAGCAGAGAGTGCTCTCACCCGAGCACACAGCCAGAGGATTCCTTGGCAAGGACTGGGATGGTTTGTGCTGGGTGAGGTGAGGACAACAAAACAGGCCACACACAACAGGYGTGCTCCAGCATCCTTCCTCCCGCCAGGATCGGAGGAGCCGGCAGCAGCAGTGAGTAACCGGGATGTGACGGACAAGAAATACCTTCAAATGGCGTAATCCCGGGGGTTCTGTTTCCTGAGGGTCTGCAGGACATCCTCAAGGAGTGATAGCCCCAAATCCACTTTGAAGGACAGGAAGGGGTCGGCCAGGTCGGGAAGAGTGGTGCTGTTCTGGAGACCTGCCCCTGCGGTGCTGTGGTCCTCAGCCTGGTCCTTGTGCGTGGGAGTGGCTTTGTGGTACGGAGCAGCGTCGGAGAAGGAGAGGTCGGAGTGGGAATCCGTGCGATCGATGATGTTGGGGCAGCTGGAACTGTCCAGGTACAGCCGGGGTGGCTTGGGAGGGGCTTGTGCCTTGGCCAGGTTCTGCTCGCTCTGACAGGACAGATACTCAGACTTGTCCTTCAGATCCCTCTTCTGGCCATCCGTGTCCAGAGTGTGGCTGTTCTGGTTCAGGATGATGACTTGGTTGCCCAGCTTTTTGTGCCTCCTGAGGGAGAAGCGTCGGAAGAAGGTGGTGGATTTGAGGGACCCCCTGCGCCAGGTATCCATGCCGAGGGAGGCAGCGAGGAGCAGGAATGCTGACTCCTCACAGGCTGGGATCAGGAGGGATCAGCAGCGAGCCGTGCGACGGGAACAGCCCCTTCCTGCTCCGTTCGMGGAGCTGCAGGGAAAGCAGAGAGGCTGGTAGTGCAGGAAATGCAAACTCCACGCCGTGGCAGGGAGTGCTTGGCTCGGGTTGGATCTCAGGAGTCTCCTGTCAGAGCGGAGAGGAGCGGTGGTGAGCAAGCGAGCTCGTTAAACGWGTGCCGCGGCTCCGGGCTGGTGGGGAACGACAGAGGCACAGTCACCATGAGAACAGATCTAATCTGGCATCTAGAACAGAAGGGCACTCGGGTGCCATGGCAACCGGGCACCTTCTGCAGAGGGGCACTGGCGGAGAAGCGCCGTGGGTGGTTGGGAACGAGACGGTGASTCAGTCCCGCCGAAGGAACCCAGGGAATACAGGCGAAGGGAGACGTGAAGAGCGACGACACAACAGGCAACGCTGGGAAAATCGGGTGCAAAGAAGACTTACGCCGTGCTGGAGCGGCCTGGAGTGCAGGAGCGGGAGGAGAAGCTGCTGGAGCGCTCGGAGAACCAGGCCTGCCAGGCTCACCAGGACGAAGAAGCAAGTCCAGGGACTTCTCAGCCAGAAGTTCAGGAATTCAGCCAGGTTGGATCTGCAGAGCCAAAATTCGCCGGCTGCCGTCCCTTCGTGTGCCACCCAGCGCTGCTTCCCGGGCTGCGGCTCCCTGTGTGGATGTGTTTGTTTTGAGCCGAGCCCTTGCTGAGTCAGCCACGTCAGAAACTGGGTTTTACTGGACTGGTAATTGCCAGGATTGCAGGAAGTAGGYGTGTGGAGTGGCAAAGCCTCAGCCCACGCTCAGGCTCCCGGGAGCACGTGCTTGGAGCCCACCTGGATCCGGCTGTTCTCCCTCCTGCCGCTCCGAGGGCTCCTCGTGTCAGCAGAGCTCTCAAACAAGGCTGCAAATAATCTCCTGTCTGTTTTAAATTCCAGTCCCAGTGCGAGGTGGGGCTTCAGGTTTGTGTGGGTGATTCATCTGCATGAGTCTCATGCAGAAGCTTCCATCCAGCCCAGCAAATTCCTGGGGCTGGTGGATGGTGCTTGGAAGAATCCCCGCTGAGGGCTGATACCATCAGTGCTTTCTCAGATGCTGCTGCTGCCAGTACCCAAAGGTCATTTTGCTCATGTGGCTCCTAAGACACTAATTAGACTCCTAATTTCCCACTTGATGTTCCCTTATCTGTTGTGGGCTTTCATTGTGTCCTGGCAGCTGGAGGAACCACTTTGCCTGCACGGGAAAAGGAATTGCACTCGCCCTGTTTCCAGGCAGAGTCTTATTTAGCCATTCTATTGCCTTTGTCTCCCTTCCGCTTCCTAAGACATCCTTAAAGATCCAGAGAACCTGGAAGTGTTCAAAGCCAGGTTGAAGCAGCGTGGGCTAGTGGAAGGTGTCCCTGCCCATGGCACGAGCTTGGAACCAGATGATGTTTAAGATCCCACCCAAACTGTTGTGGGATTCTGTGATGCTCTGAGATCACCACTTAACCAGCTTCCTAGAAAAATGAATAATGAAGGGTTTTTTTTTCCCATTTACCTTCTGTCAAGACAATTTATTTCCACCTGAACTGTCAAGGAACGAGCTGGATGTTTCCAAGCCTTGCAAGTGCTTTCAYACATCCAAAATAGCGTGGCCACCTACCAGTGTGGAATGGCTCTGGAAGCAGTGCCAAAGCAACGGAGCAGCTGTCACCTGCTGCCCACGTTCATTAGGCAGAGTCTGCAATCAGCTGCCTTGACRTGACAGTTGCTGCCACACACAGCAGGAAGGCTTTGGAAAACTSTTCCATTYCTGTGTMAGGTTTGGGATTCCACACACAGCAGGAAGGCTTTGGAAAACTGTTCCATTCCTGTGTCAGGTTTGGGATTCCACACACAGCAGGAAGGCTTTGGAAAACTGTTCCATTCCTGTGTCAGGTTTGGGATTGTACCCACGTGGTTTTCTTTCTGCAGCCAGTTCGAATCATGGAATTGTTCGTGTTGGGAAAGGCCTCTGAGATCATGGATTGCAGCTGTTGGAATCATGGAATGGTTTGTGTTGGAAGGGACCTTAAAGCCCATCAGTTCCAGCGCAGGTCAGGGACACTTTTCACTGGCCCAGGTTGCTCCAAGCTCTGTCCAACCTGGCCTGGAACATTTCCAGGGATGGGGCAGCTCCTCTGGGCAGCCTGTGCAGGGCCTCAGCACTGTCACACAGTTGSAAGTTTGTCACTTCCATGACTAATCCACAGAGGTTTGATGTTTTTTATGGCATTGCCCTTTATAACAGGTGAAGTGTACACTGGACTTTGAGCACCAGCGTTGTAGGTGCAGGGTGAACTTCCYATCCAAGAAGATGCCCCATCCAGCCTCATGGAATGCTGACTCCGTGTCTGCCCTGCTTTTCTCATCAACCACACTTATTGCTGGTTATTTGTAATAATCACTTCAATAACAATTCCTGGTTATTTCCCATACTCAGGCAGCTTTCCCCCACCTCTCCCGATTTCTGTGGGATCAGAGTGCTTCCTGCCTGGAACACCGGTRTTGTGAGGGGGATTTGGGGAGGGGCTGTGCTGTCCTGATGGGCTGTGTGTTTCCTGCTCCTTGCCAGGCCTCGGTGGTGTCAGAGCGGGACTATGAGAGCCTGGTGATGATGAGGATGCGGCAGGCAGCCGAGAGGCAGCAGCTCATCGAGCAGCTCCAGCGGGAAGACGAGGAGGAGAAGTCGCACACTTAGCAGGAGACTATGGATTCTCCCACCGCTTCGTTCCCCCAGAGTTGTTCATTAATTTAAGCCAATAAACCTCCTTTTTTTAAAGGTGTTGTGGGAATAGAAACTCCTGGGGCTTGCAGCCTGTGTCCCTTTCCAGGTTTGGGGAAGGAAGAAATGGCTGCCTGAGCTTCACGGAGTGCAGGTGTTACTCTGTCAGTGTGGGACAGGGTGTGAGAGGTGCCATCAGAACACCAAACCTTGGAGCTTTTCACCCCAAAACTCATTTGGGAGCTGTGTATCCAGACGGATTTGGCAACAGCTTTAAACACCCCCCAGAAGGACATTGGTCTCTTTGGAGCAATGTTTTATTCATGTTTACCCCCACAGCAGGAGCCATGCRCAGTGCCAAACATTGCAGCAGTGTTGGGATTGCAGCCTGCACCTGGAATAGTCCCACAACCTTTCTGTGTTATTTTGGGAACCCCCTGTGAGGCTGGGATGGCAGTCTGGGGTCGGGAAGCCTGGTGGTGCTGCTGCGATGGGAACRGGCCTTGCTGTCCAGGGAAGGGTTCTCAGAGCACTGGGGGTAGSTTTAGTGGTTCCCCCTTGGATTTCAGGGATGAGATGGGTTGGTGTCCATGCTTGGTGTCCCTCCCTAGCCCCSCTGGCCCAGGAGAGGGCATGGAACTTTCCTGGGCAGCCTGAGGARGAGGCAGACAGGTCTGTTATTGAGCTTCCTCCAGGGCATGCTGAATACATGATTGAAATGTAGAAAGCTGGAATTTGCCAGACTGCCATCCYGCTGGAGCCATCTGTTCCCTCTGCCTGGTTCTGGGCACACCTCCCTCTCCTGCTCCTGGGAAATGACAGGGATGGCAAAATTCCACCGGGTCCAGCTCTGCCTCTGCACCCTTCCTCCCCCTGCCCGAGTGCCTGGAGTCTGGGACAGGAAGGAATTAAAGGGGGAACATTTGCTGCCAGTCCTGTAAGATGATCTCCAGCAGGATATTGTCCACATGGAAGGCAGGGCTCTTCATGGCTATTCCCTGTGGAGGCACCAGACCAGGGTYTGGCCCACGCCAGTCATGCTGACCACACGGTAGCCGAGGCTCTCCAGCTTGTCCAGGACCACACGTGGAGCTTCATTCACGTAGTACTCACAGCTGCACCCGGGAAAAACAGGAATAAGGTGAGCTGGGGGAGGAAGTSATGGGAGTTTCCTGATGGAAGTGATCCTGCTTCGCTCCTGACCCCAGGGCCTTGGTTAACCCCGGGGGAAGGCACAGCCCTCGGTGCCAAACCCTGTCCAAGAGGGAAGGATCAGGTTAGATGGGAGTGTGGCTGCCAGTCCAGAGCCACGTGGTGCTCGCTAGCTGGGCTGGCACTGCAGCAGAGGGCTCACAGGTAAACACGGGTGAGCACGTTTTTARTACTTGGGAATTTGTGGAGGAGGAGAGGAATGATTCAGGTGTTTCTGAGGAATGAAATCCCAGTGTTCTGCCTATGTCTGTAAGATGGGTGGGTTTGAGAGACTGTTGGGATTGGGATTGGAACAAGGTCCTGTTTTAAGCATGGTGGGAAACCTTTGGAAAGCCAGCAGTCATCTGTCCTGCAGCTCCAGGAGTGCATGGGAACTGATAATGGGATCTTTGTCCAGCTCTGATTCCCTGGTGGCTTCTGCTTGTTCCGTGTGTCTGGAGCAGAAACTGTCCCACATTCCTACCCCTCGATCCTAGAAGCTCGAGGGCTGTGGCCCTGCCCCCCAGTAAAGGGACCTGACCCAAACTGGGCTGGGCTGGGTGGGGACAGTGGGATGTGCCAGTCTTTCCCTTGACACCRCTTCTGGGTAAGGCCCAGAGCAGCTCAGCCTGACTCGTAGTGCCAGGTAAGTGGATAATGACGGGCTGCAGGATCCCTGGGGATCCTGTTTGGGCACCTGAACAAAGCCTCTCCTGCTTTTCCTACTAATAACGAGAGAAAAAAAGATCCAAAAGCCTTTCCAAAGCTGCTGCTGCTTGGATTGTGGAGCCGTGCTGAGCTGGGAGTGCTTTCAAGCACGAAATAACCCTGAGATGTGAGAGATTTTCCAGTTTCTCAAGACAGGCTGTACTTGGCTGTAATTATAGATGTGGTGTAAAGATAATGTGCATTATTATGAGTGTCTTTGAAGTCTATGCTTTCTCCAGGAGGGTTGCCACATCTCCTTYAGATTCGCAGTGGAGCTGGTAAATATTATTCCCATTATTCAGAGGAAGTAGCAGAGGCAGGGATTTGTAGGAACCCAAAAAACGGAGTAGCTGAGCTAAAAGCAAGAGGGAAGAGTTTCCAGTTGTGCACTGGGGGAAATGAAGATTGCACACCATGGGTGTTGGATACGCCTCCATCTCTGCGTGCATCCAATCGGGATGGACAGGCTGGGATCCCTGCAAAGCCTTTTCCTCCAGGTAAACACCAGCAGGGAAAAGAGGAGCCATCCCATATTAGAGGGGACTTGTGCCCTGGTGCTGGTTAGGTTGTGATCCCACCAGCTCTGCCTACAGGTGAACACAGAGCAGCAGCCGCAGGGATGGGGTGGGAGCTGAGAGGCAGCAGTGATTTTTAGGGATTTTTCTTTGGGATCTGTGCCCAGCTCTCCTTTAGCTCCCTGAGGACGGGTTTGGCTGTGCCTGGAGGAACAGGGACGTGSAATGTTAGCAGGTGCCTTAGCCCTCAGCTCCCATGTCCAAAGGAAGGCGTCGGGTTGCAGTTAAGATCAAAGGATGCTGGACGTGCCCAGCCAGGGATTGGCTGTCCCTTGCCACATCTGGCTGTCCCATACCACACCTGGCTGTCCCCRGGGCTCTGACCTGGACAGGGAGGGCAGGGACGCGGTCACTGCTCCCCACACCATGTGGGACTTAATGAGGGGCCATGTGTGTGTGTGCAGAGCTGCAGAACAGGATCCCTGTGCTCCCTCATTACAGGGTTTTCAGTGCTTCACCTGTTCATCTCGGYTTCCCAGCAGGTCTGTGCTGCTCAGGCTTTTCCTTCAGGCTCCCTACAAGGTCACAGTTAAAGTTTTGGGGCCCAAGGTGCCAACAGGAAGGGGGGTTGCAGCATCCATAGCCAGGCTGTGTTCATGAAGGAGTTGGGGATGGAAAATCCTGCTGGGCCACAGTGTGGATCCTGGAGATCCCAGCCCAGGCTGGGGTGCTGGAGGAAGTGGCCAGGCTCGCCCCGCTGGCACGTGGCTGTGCTCCCAGGGRTGCCAGCGGCCACATTCCAGCCAGGGGACTGTCCCCACTCCCTGTTGCTCGGGCACACACGGGGAGGACGTGCTGCACCGCGGGGATGTGTCCCGGGGGCAAAGTGGAGATCCCAGCTGTGACACAGGTGGGGCAAGAGGAGCTCCAAACGCTCCAGGCYACAGGGAGGGGAGAAGGGCGGTGAATCCACCAGGCAGATCCCACAGAAAGCTCACATTCCAAAGAAGCACAACATTGTGCTTCTGTTACAGCGCTGCGGCTCCCCCAGCCGCTGGGGCATGAACCACAGAGGTACTGATCTATCTTTGCCTTCCTTTTCCACCTGAAACCCAGGAATCCTTGCCTCAATCTCTCAGGATCCAGTTCCTTTTTGGAAGCTGTTGTGTTTCTCCCCGCTCTGCCACCGTCCCGTTGCGTAACCCGGGGCTCGGCGTGGCGGGTGGCAGCACGACGCCGGCKCTGCTGCCAATCTCTGCCCACCCACAGCCTTGGGAATAGCAGCACGCAGACGGATCAGCCCGACAGCCCTTCCCCCCCGGGAATTCAGCTGGGATGGGGGGCCCTCAATATTTACATTTCATCACCTTATYGTTAAAATTTCCCACCCCGCTCGGATTTTAACGCAATTTTAATCCAGCCCTTGGTGTCTGCCAGGCTGGTGCTGAGTAGGTGGGTTTTCCCAGCTCCACGGATGGAAGCTTGGGAAGATGTTGGGATGAGATGCCCCTTCTGTTTAATGCCTCACCCTTGTCCTCCTCCTTTTCCTCCTTCTCCTACCACATGGGACATAGCAGGAATCAAGCTGCTCCTCTCTGTCAAGTTCATTTGCATTTGCGGGTTTGTTTTGCTTTGCCTTCACCTCCCAGGGAAAAACCAAGAAGTGGGATATCCAAACCAAAAAGGAAAAAAAAGTGGGCCAAACCATGAGGAAGACACTGGTCATATCTCTGAGTGGCACTTGGCCACAGGCTGAGGTCAGACTCGGYGTGGACAGAGATGAGGACATGGAGAAGTGTTAAATATCCACAGTTTGGGAATGTGCTGGTGGAGGGGTTGGAGTCAGGGGTGACACAGTGGGAAACAGCTCCAACCCCATGGCTCAGCAGCCCGTGGAAAAGGTTTGGGAACTGTTGGGAAGGGCGGGCTCAGGAGAAACCTCAAGCTACACCGGACAGCAGGATGGGATGGCCAGACAGACTGCAGGAGGGAGGGACAGGGCAGACAGACCGTGGGTGAGCTGGGTGGGATGGGATGGGATGGGACAGAACTGTGGGTGAGCATTCCATGTGGCTCAGCAGCAAGAATGGCCACAGGCAGAGCAAGGCAAGGATGGCACCGAGAGAGGGAACGTGTCAGGTGCTGAAACAGGGTCAGAGCAAGGGAAAATGAAGACCTGAGTGAAGTATCAGGCAGCATTTCCTTATTAACAGGCAGAACAAGGACACGARTCCCGGGATTAACTGTGCAACTGGAAGATGCTGTGGGGAACACCAGGAGTGAAAATGTTCCACATTTCTTGGGMAAATAAGGAGGGGAGGACTTACAAGTTGTTCCCCAGCGTGCTCCTCTTGGTGGCCCCCAGGATGCTCATCAGGTGGGGATCCGAGTGCTCGTCRCCCACCATGGTTGGCCCAGCCTCCTGCAGGACAGCATGGAGCTGTGAGTGCCATGTGGGGACATGGCCACCCCCTGCTCCCAGCACAGCTCCTGGGAGAGCCCTCTTGGGAAGGGAATTGCCCACCCTGGGAGGGAACTTCAGCCGCTGCCAGGAAAGCACAGTTGTGTTCAGGGCCAGGACGGGAAGTTSCCAGCCTCAGCTCCGTGCCAAGTTTCAGACTGGAAATGTTTGCTTTGCCCCTTTGGCAAAGAGCTGAGTGTCCAAAGTCTCCGGAGGGGGGACTGAGCCCTGYTGCTCCAGGCTGTTCCCTCCAGGGCCCCAATCCGTGTTCTCCTTCCTGTACCTCATCCATAATGTRTGGATTTATACAATCCCGAATGCCRCTGCCAGCAGATGCTTTGGTGCTGCAGCATCCCCACGTGTCCCCATTCCCAATACACTACTGTTTCCTTTGGGACACCTCCAGTGGCAGCAGCTGCAGTGTCCATCACCCAGTCCCTCCCTTTGCTCGTTTTCACTGTCCCCCAAAACCCACGGGCATATCCGGACTTAAAGAGGGTTGATTGTCAGGAAAAGGGAAACCCCAGATAAACGCAAGGCTGTGGGYTCCTACAAAGTCCTGCAGGATGTGRGWGCTGCCAGTGCCGCGGACTGACGATTGCTCGGTGACTTTGTGTGACAGTGACACCCAGCGATCCCAGCAGCGCTCCCGGACGGTGATCCTGCGATCCTGCCAGCGATCCCAGCCCCTGATCCCAACCACTGCCCGCCTCCTGCCAGCCCCGGCCACGTCCACTCCCTTGGCCGAGCTTTCCACCCTGGAATGGCAGTTTGGGGACGAGGGAAAACCAACTGCGAGGACAAATGGGGCCGTCCGTTTGGCGTTCGTGGGGAACTGTCACAAGTTTCCCAAGTGAGCCGCTGTTTGGGGGAGAGGAGGGTTTGGGGGCACCAGGGGCTTTCACGGAGTTGTGCCGGACACCCCACAGCGGGTACCGGCCGCTGGGGCACAGCCTGGCCGTGTTTTAGGGTCTCCCAAATGTGCATCACCCCCCGAGCCCCCAGCAGGAGCAGGGACAGCCATCCCGGGGCCCCGTCGCACCGCGGGCTGAGCCGCTCCCACCGCTCGTCCCGGTGGATCCCTGCCCGCCCCCCGAATTTCCCCAGCTCCGGGGGTCCCGCCGGACTCACCAGGCGGATTTGGGTGCTGATGAGCAGGTACGGCATCTCCGCTCYGCCGCTCCCGCCGCCGCTCCGGGAGCACCGTACCCGGGGCCGCCCCCGGTCCCGCCCCGCCGCCACCGCCCCCGGGCACTGCGGGGGAAAACGGGGAAAAGGGACCCCAAAGGGGTCAGGGACGGGGACACAGCCCGGGGGGGCTCCGGCCGATCCCTTGGGATCTCGGCTCTGCCGTCCCAACAAGGAGGTGAAGGGCTGGAAGGTGACGAGCAGGGAAAGGACGGAGCAAGAGATGACAGACGGACAAGAAGGTTGTGGGAAAGGAGGTGATGGAGCCGGAGATGATGGACTGGGAGAAAAAGGACAGGAGATGATGAGCAGGGAAAGGAGGGACCGGGAGGCGACGGGCAGGATGGTGGGGGACAGGAGATGATGAGCAGGGAGACGGAGGACGGGAGATGATGCTCAGAGAGGCAATGAACAGGAGATGATGGATAAGGGAGACGAAGAAACAGGAAATTAATAGCAGGGAGATAAAGGACCAGGAAATKACAGGAGGGAGATGAGGACTGGGAGATGACGGAGCAGGAGCCAGGCAGGTGGGGGGCCCTGGGCCCTGCAGAGCATCCCCACTTCCACCCCACAGTCTGATCAAAATATTCCCCTGAAGCGGAATGTTCAGCATTATCTATGTTTTTTTTTGGGAGAAATCTGTTCTTCTAACAGCTGTCGAGTTTTTATCTGGGAACAGGGTGGGTTAAATCCCTTCACAGTTTGAGGAGAAGCTCATTTCCTGGGAGTGGGGCAGGCAGAGACGCTGCATATCCGTTATTATCGATGGGTTATTAGCAGCTGTTACAATAATTACTGTTGCTGTTAATTGTTATTACTGCCATTATCATTGACCCGTTGGTTGGGTTTGGTGAGACACAAGAAAAGCCAGAGGCTGATGATCTCCTCTCCCTAAAATGAGCCCTGTGTGTCCCAAAATGTCCATTTGGAGTTCTCTGTGGGGTGCCTCACCCTGCAGGTTAAACATCAGCTCGTTTGGATCACTCCCACCCTCGGGAGAGCCTCTTCCCAAGTCCTGGAACAGCTGGAATGTTTGCTCACTGCCCTCCTGCCCCAGTGCAAACCTGTTGGCCAACGACCCACGGGCACCTTTCACCCGCTTGGGTTGGATTTGGACAGAATTCCCAAAATCCGTGACCCCTCAGGACCTCCACCGGGCACGTGTGGCTACACAGGGAATAACACGGATATGAAATCCAGACCTTCCCAGAAATTAAAGGAAAACTAGCCAGGGTTCTGCCCARCTCTGACTCTCATGTAGCTCTTTCCTGGGGGAAAAAAAAAAAAAGAGTAAGGAAGAAAGAGGGAACTGAGAGCAGAGCTATATGTAACATTTTAATATCAGATTTCTGGAGGAGATACTGAAATTGGGGAGGCAGCTGATGGAGCTGAGAGGTGCCATCCATCATCCCAAAGCAGCTTATCGCTCCCTGGCTCCGAGCTGGCTGCTCCCAGCTCTCCTTGGACTGGGCTGGCTCGGAATTGCTCCCAATAATTCAGATAAAGGGAAGCTGAAGGTTCTYTGGCTCTGCACAAATCCTTCTGTCACCCAAACCCCTGGGAGCAGAGAGAACACAAAGGGCTTGGTTTTCCCTCTCCTGCCCCATGCCTTTTCCTAAGGAATCCTTTGGCTCTTCCAAAAAAAGGTATTTCTAGTTTCAATAATCCTGGGATAAAGAAGTTCTTCTTGCAGGATCCCACCAGGAATGTAACCACCCACTGCATTTCCTGYAGAAGGGAGAATTCCAACTCCAGAGGCTTGGGATGATTGTTTGGCCATTCCTGTGTCCTCTGCCTATTCCACTTAAAATCCTTTATCTCATCCCGAAAACCAGTGGATCCCATAACCAGCCCCGTGCCCAACTCCCTCRCCACAAAAACCCTGTCCCACTCGGCTCCATTGGGCATCCCAAATTCCCATTTTTTTGGGCACATTTGTCCTGCACTRCTGGAAGCTGAACCCCAAGTTCAGCGGGGTTTCCTCCTGTAACAGATCCATATTATAGCGTTGGCTTTTTGCAAATATTAAAAATAAATATTACAGATATCATTTTAATTTTACCAAAATTACCTTATTATAAATATATAATTATGTAACAGCAACTAACACCTTTATACCAAAATTACCTTATTATAAATATGTAATTATGTAACAGCAACTAACAACTTTATACCAAAATTACCTTATTATAAAGATATAATTACTATAGTAATTATATATTAGTTACAATAGTAACTAATAGTAATTATAGTAACAATAGTTATTGTATAGATATATTACATATATTATTATTAATATATATTGTATATATATAGTTATTAATATATATAATATATTTTATATATATATATAATTACTATATACTATATATGTAGTAATTATATATTAGTTACAATAGTAACTAATACCTTTATTTCTATTACTAACTAAATWTAAATATAATAATAAAATAACTAATATATGTTAAAAAATGGATAATTTTACTTACCATAACCAAACTACACACTTAACCAAATAACATCAAAAAACCCCAAATATAATAAAAAGCCTTACTACTAATATATCAAGTATCTAAAAAAAATACAAAATAAAACCCGCGCGCTGATGACGTCACATACCCGTAGCTCCGCCCCCTCGTTTGTCGCTTCTCTGACGTCATCACTGCGCGCCCGGGCGGTGCCGCGCGGCCGGAGCGGCCATGGCGGTGCCGGTGGCGGAGCCGGCCCGGGTCGGGCCCCGGCTCTGGGTGGCGGTGGGGCTGGCGGCGGGCGCCGGCATCGGCTTCGGCCTCGGSCTGCTCTGGAGCATGCGCCGCCGCTCCAAGAGGTCGGCGGGGCCGCCGAACCGCGGTACGAGCGGGATCGGGCGGCGGGAAAGCCGCCTTGGAATGAGGGGGGAACGGGGCTGGTGGGTGCGCGGTGGGACTGGAATAGGCAGGAGTGAGGTTGGAATTGCACGGTGGGACTGGAATAGGTTGAAATGTGCATGGTGGGACTGGAATTGGGGAGGGATGGGGCTAGAGTTGGCGTTGGGATAGAGGGAATGAGGAAAATGGGATGGGGAAGAATGGAGGAAATGGAATGGGGTTCATATAGAAAGACCAGGGGGAAATGAGATTAGAGTAGGAAGAATGGGGTTGAAAGAGGGGGAATGACGTTGGAATGTGGCAAGTCGTGTTGGAATAGGAAGAATTGGGGGACATGGAGCTGGAGTAGGGGAGAATAGGGATTGAATGTGAAGAATGGGATGGAATGGGGTTGGGGTGGGGGAAATGGCGTTRGGGTGTTGGACTTTCAGTGGTGCAGATTCAGAGCCCTGGGTTTCATCCATGTCTGTGCAAAACTCCGGGAATAGAAAGTGAAACCGTGTTTTTCACAGTGATGGTAGAATAATATAATTCTGGAATGGTTTGGGTGGGAAGGGACCTTAAARCTCTTCCAGTGCCWTCCTCTGCCTTGGGCAGGGACACCTTCCACTATCCCAGGTTACTCCAGGGCCTGTCCAACCTGGCCTTGGACACCTCCAGGGATAAGGCAGCTTCTCTGGGAAACCTGTGCCTCACCACTCTCCCAGGGAAGAATTTCTTCCCAATATCCCATCTAAATCTCCTCTTTTCGAGTTTGGAGCTATTCCCCCTTGTTCTGTCACTCCAGGCCCTTCCAACCATCTCTTCCCACCTCCAGGCACTGGAAGGCACAGTTGGGTCACCCCAGAGCCTTCCCCATCCCAATTGTGCCAGCCTTTCCCCACTGCTCCATCCCTGTGCTCAGCTGGGTGTCCCTCCCAAGATCAAACCTGGCATTCCCTGTGCTCAGAGCTGTGCTCAGATTTCCCCTGTGGAGTGCTTTCCTCTTTGGGTCTAACGAGCTCACTGTGCTCTGGTGCAGCCCAGATCGTGGTGCCCAGCCCCCTGCTGCGTCAGAACGAGCAGCTGCAGCTCCTGGAGCGCCTGGACTCGGTGGTGAGGAACATYGTGGAGCTGAGGAAGGAGGTGGAGGAGCTGCGCAACGGCCTCCAGGACCTGGCGGTGGAGATCGCGGGGGAAGTCAGGTACTGCCACTCTGTCCTGGGCTGGGCCACTCCCTGGCATGGGAAAACAGTCATAGATCCCAGAATGGGAATGCCAGGGGGCTCCCATGGGGCTCCAAGCCCATTCCCACCTGGCCTGGAAGGATTCCAGGATTGGGGCAGCCGCAGCTTCTCTGGGAAATCCATCGCAGTATCTCACCACCCTCACAGGGTAAAACTCTGAATATCACCCATATTCAACCTAAATTTCCCCTTTTGGTTTGAATCCATTCTGTCACTCCAGTTCTGGATGGGCATCACATCTCTGGATTGCTTTACCTTCAGAATACCACGTTAGCTCCATTTGAGTTGGGATAAATAAGAGTGAATCACTTTGTGTATCCTTTGGGATGAAGGGAACCAGGTGGAGTCTGCTGGAGAGGAGAAGGGGAATAGCAGGTATTTCACTAGCAGATATTTATTTCTCTTCTGCTTTTCCTCAAGGACCCACCTGGAAGAAAACCAGCGAGTGACTCGCCGGAGGAGGTTCCCCTTCTCCAGGGAGAGAAGTGACTCCACAACCTCCAGCTCCATTTATTTCACAGCCAGCTCAGGGAACGCCAACACAGATGATGGAGAGAGTGAAGGGGGGTAAGCAAAGCACTGGGACAGATGTTTTGGGGAATTTGATGCCACATCTGGCTAGTTTATAACAAAAAAAAAAGGATTTCTTTTCCCCCCACGGTAAGCAGAGCACTGGGACAGATGTTTTGGGGGATTTGGTGCCACATCTGGCTAGTTTATAACAAAAAAAAAAGGATTTCTTTTCCCCCCACGGTAAGCAGAGCACTGGGACAGATGTTTTGGGGGATTTGGTGCCACATCTGGCTAGTTTATAACAAAAAAAAAGATTTATTTGTTACAGTAAATGTGTTACTTCTAGGGCCATACTGAGAGATCTCCAATAATCCTGATCTTTAGAGATAAAAAACAAGTTTTATATATATTTTTAATTTTTTTTAAGGAATAATTTGGTAAAGGAAACTTGCATAAAGAATGGAAGTACAAATCCAGGCTGGCAGTGGAGTGAGAGGAAATAAAATTTCTAGACAATGTATATTAATGTATATTACATTTTTTCATATACACACACGTGTATTTTAATGTGTATGTAGATACATATACACATGTAAATAAATACATAAATATATATTTTAGAGTGTCTGGAAAACCAGAGAAAGTTAAAAATGTGTTAGCTAAATATCTTCAGTGAACTGAATTATCTCCAGTGGGGGTATTTCTTAGGAATTTTTCTCCTTGTGTCACACGGTTCAATTGTCTCAGGGTTTAAAATCAGGTGAAAATGATAAATCATTGAATCAGGGAATATCCTGAGGTGGAAGGCACCAAGGAGATTCATGGTGGTGTGATAGGTAATGAGGCTACAAAACAGATTTTAGAGCTGTAGAGTTGGTTCTGAAGGCAGGACTTGGGTATTTGGGTAACAGCAGATGCTCTGAGTCACCAGGGGAACAATGGTTTAGTGTGAAACTGCTGAAAAAGGGGGTTTTGTCCTCACATCATAGAAAATTCTCATTGGGACAGAGGCCAAGAATTCAGAGTTTCTGAAAAGGCATCTCCTAAGAGGTGTATTTTACTGCAAAAAAATCGTTAATTTATTGGGAATCCAGTGGTGGCTGGAGGAGTCCTGACATTTTAATTAAAATCTGTAATTATMTGTAACAACCAGTGTGGGGATTGGTGGATTAGCAGCTCTCATSTGATTTCAAACTGGAATCTCAGGTAATGCCTTGCTCTGCTCCTACACAGAGAGGTAGAATAATATCAGTCTGGCCAGGACCAGCTGCCTGTAGTGTGCAAAATTGTCTGTTAGGGGTACAAACATACCTGAAAAGTAACATTTTCTGGGTAGGGAATGTACATTTTGGAAGGAACTACTGAGGCTTTGGAGCAGGCACTGGGAAGAAGAAGGAGCCTGTTGCCAACAGAAATTTCAGCTGGCTGTTCCTTGCTGAATTCTTCCAGTGAGATTCAGAGCAAAATGCCCCCATTTCAGTTTTTACTGGTTTTATTTTATGGTTTTRTTTTGTAAACCATGTGGGCATGAGCAGCCTCTCCAGTTTCAGACACAATTCCTGGAAATCACCAAGAGTTTTCAGGGGGTTTGTGCTGCTTCATTTCTCTATGTGGCTGTGATCATGGRTTTCTTTGCTTTCATTTTCCATGGGCTCTTTTTTCCCTCGGGATCCTCACAAGATTCCAGAGCTTTCCATCTTTGTAAACTCAGGAAAACAAGCTGATAACATCTAAATCCCTTAATCTCCCTGGAAGTTTTGGCTTTCCTTGTCTTTCTGAACTGGAAGAATCTCTTAGGGGCTGTCTGGGAGAAAACACGGGTGTTTTTAGGGCTGAAGGACTGAAATCTTGGCAGCTGCCAGTAAAATGTTGGGGGTTGGAATGGGAAAATTGGGGWATTCTAGGASTTTGTGTTTAATTACTGAAAATGAGGTGGTCTAGAGAACTGATAATGTCATTAATATTAAGAAATGTAAATAAATGAGGGTTCTAATCCAAGGTGTCAGTGTCACCTTACCCYTGTGTTGCTGCATTATCCATTAACTCAGTGTCATTTCCAGCATGGCATCCTTGCTTTCCTGCCTCTGCAGTGATGAGGCTGATGCTTTATTTCTTGCCTTAAATTATTTCAGTACAAAATGGTGGGGTTTTGCATCTCTGGGTGAGGGTCTGGGGCTGTGGTGAGGGACAAAGAGGGGAATTCTTGAGAATTAGGGCTGGTTCTCAGGAAGGTGAAACTTTGATAGCCAAACGTGCCTTGTTATCTGTGTGTGGGCAAAGCCCTGTCACTGTCCTGTTCAGATAGGAGCTGTGGTCACATATCTGTGTCCCCAGACAAAGGCAGGGCCATGGGAGGAAGAATCCAGCCAGGGTGCAAGGGAGTACAGCTGGAAGCACCCAGTGCCCCCAGAGTGCACGGAATTGAATTCCARCAGAACTTCTGAAGTTCTCTTGGGCGGTTTTTCAGTAAAATCAACATATTAGAGTGCACATTTTGAAATGACTGGCTGATTTGTGCCTGTTTTATAGTGAAGAGCTTGCAGGTAAACATGAGGAACGTACATAGTGTTGTTTTAAAAGAAATCAGCTATGTAAGGAGACTCCCTCCTGCGGGTTAACACKGTGTAACACTGGTTTAAATTTTAAATTCCCAGCGTGGGTGCTGRGGCAGCTTAATTTTAACCATTTTCAGAAGTTTTGATCTGAGCTTTACAGAACCTCAAGTTTGGGAGAGACTTCCAGAGTGCTGGAGTCCCACCAGCACCACCATAATCTCCCCAAACCATGTTCTGGTTTGTTTGACCACACCAGCTGCTGATCATTCCCTGGCTTTTTGCATGTGTGATGAATCCTCACTGGATTCCTTGCTTGTGTGGCAGAGTCCTGGAGGCTTTCCTGCTGTTCTGCACCTTTCCAGGTGGCAGTGGGAACAGGCTGGGTAGCATTTAATGGAAGTAGGTGGTGTTACCAGGACAGCTGTTGTGCCTGAAATTCCCTGGAAAAGGCCAAACCCCTCRGATTCTGTTTTGCACAGGGATTGTTGAAGTTCCCTTTTATCATCCCTGTATTTAACTGCATTGGCCTGGCTCTGGTTTCAGCTCTTTTTCATTCTCTTTTGCTGAAGTTAAAATGGGCTGAGAGGGAGGAGCTGCCAGGGTTGGAATCCTGGAATGGTTTGTGTGAAAAGGAACCTTAAAACTCATCTGGTTCCACCCCCTTGCACTGTCCCAGGTTGCTCCAAACTGACTTGGGACTTAACTTTGTTATCACTTTCATCCTTGAGCTTTCTGAGGGTGATATGAGGAATGAGGTTGTGCAGTTTTCTCTGGGATAAGCTGAGGTGCTGCTCCTCTCYTGAGGAATAGCTCATTTGCTGTTGGTTTTTTCTCCCCAAGTTACACCACGGCCAACGCCGAGTCCGACTACGACCGGGAGTCGGAGCGGGAGAGCGAGGAAGGGGAGGATGAAGTGAGCTGTGAGACCGTGAGAACCATGCGCAGGGATTCCCTGGATCTGCCCCCCGAGGATGAAACCCCTCTGGTGTCGGATTCCTCGCAGGAGGAGGGGCTGGGGCAGCTCCTGGAGCAAGCTGACCGCCTGCACAGCGGGGATGACCAGGACAAGAGAGAGGGCTTCCAGCTGCTCCTCAACAACAAGCTGGCGGTAAAGGTGCCTTGTTGTGTTTTCCAGCACCAGGGGAGGGGMAGTTTGGACATCAGGAGAGATTTTGTCACTCAAAGTGCAACCTGTGGYTGATCYCCACCTTGTCACCAGCCCAGAGCACTGAGTGCCATGTCAAGGCTTTCCTTGGACACTTCCAGGGATGGGGATTTCACCACCCCCCTGAGCAGCCCCTTCCAATGCCTGCCAGTCCTTTCCATGAGGAAATTCCTCCTGGTGTCCAACCTAAACCTCCCYTGGCACAGCTTGARKCCATTTCCCMTTGTCCTGTCCCTGTTCCTGGGAGCAGAGCCCGACCTCCCCGGCTGTCCCTCTTGTCAGGGGGTTGTGCAGAGCCACAAGGTCCCCCCTGAGCCTCCTTYGCTCCTGGRGCTCCAGCTCCTTCCCCAGATCCTTTCTCCAGCCCCTCTCTGCCTTTTGTGACTTGAGAAGCCCAGCCCAGGAGGTGTCCCTGCAGTTTTCAGCACAGAGGGACCATCCCTGCCCTGCTGCCATGGCCACACCGAGTTCCAAACTCACCCACCCACTCTCCCTGCTGCAGTTTTCCTTCAATCCCTGCAGAATTGGGCCATTTCAGGCTTAGAAAAATCCCTGCATGTCTTGAGTCGAGTGGGGACTGAGCTGCTGGCCCTGGCCCTGCCGTGGGCTGTTTGTTCTCCCTGCAGTATGCAGAGCAGCACGAATTCCTGTGGCGCCTGGCGCGGGCTCACAGTGACATGTGGGAGCTGACAGAGAACGCGGATGAGAGGAGATCCTACGCTGCAGAGGGTAAGAAATTCCCTGCTGGGCCACAGGAAGGCTGCCACTCAGCTCTACAGCCACACCCAATGCTGGTTTTCCCCATAATCTGGTTTTTAGGGGAGCAGAAAGCAGCGCTGAGGTGGTTCGTGTTTAAAAATTGTGCTGGGGTGGTTTGCGTTTAAAAATTGTGCTTCCTGAAGGAGGCTAAATAGAACAAGACTGACTTAAAGCTGGGAAAGTTGTGTCTGAGACCTTCCATTTCTCTGTCATATTAAAATAGATTATAAAATAAATTATAAAATAAATTATAAAATAAATTATAAAATAAATTATAAAATAAACATAAAATAAGCTTTGGCTGTAGCACATTGGATTTTCTGTGTTGTAGATAGGAAAAGCACGTGTTTTTAAGTTTGCTATGGGGATTAGGTTTCATTTCAATTCCTTGTGCTTTACCACCTCGAAGGTGTCTGGAGGGTTTTAGAGTCAGAATGGAACAAAAAACATCTTTATTACAGTTAAAATGTGAAACCAAAGATACTGATCTAAATAAACTGTCTCCTGTTTATTAGGCACATAACTAAATAGAGTTAGTTAATACTATAGCTAATATAAATATTCTGTTCTGGACATCAGTGGAACCATTTAAACATGGAATTTTGAATTTTGTGTTGTCCTTTTAGCCATCAGTAGRTGCTTAGTTTTCAGCTTTCTGAGTCTACCAGAGGATAAAACTATGTATGGGATGTTTTCAWGCCAAATGCATTATCAGATGAACAAATACATGGCTTTTATACCATTCTGTTACTCTGACAACATCAGATAAAGAAACTGGGGCAGAAAACAACTGAATTTTTCACCTCTGACTGCTTTTTTGTTCCAGGGAAGGAAGAGCTGGAGCTTGCCTTGCAGAAATGGGATCAATGTGCCGAGTGCCACCAGTGGTATGTGACTTTTTCCTTCTTGYCTTTAAGAAGTGTAGGAAAAGGGCTTGGTGGTTTTTGTGAACTTGGCTGCAATTAAAAAAAAGATAAATACAAACTCTGCAAAACTTCTTTGCTGGTACTTGAGCTGTGCCACACTGGTGGTGTTTTCCATAAAAAGCCATTTTTAACAGCTTTGCTTACTGGGTGTAAGGAATGACTTGACAGACAGTAGGTTTGGTCGTGATGATAGGAATAAATTTGGGTTTTCTTACGCCAGTTTAATTATGAATTACCCTCTGAAGAGTTCTGTAGGAAAAGCTCCTGAATGGAGCTGCTTTGGGCCAAGAGGGGATGTGTTTGACACCATYAGCCAGGTCTGGGAGTGTGGGCTTKGKGCTGTGCCAAATTCCTTATTTTCCTCTTCATTCTGGAGGAAGCAGAACCATCCCTCCTATCAGACAGGCTTTTGGAGTTTCCTGGAAGTGTTTTCTGGCACTGCTGGCTCYGCTCTTGTCACTCTGCAAGGCTTGGAAATGAAGGGACACAACCACACGTGGCCCTTCTTTATTTAAAYAAAGGTATTTTATAGATTTGTTCCATGCTAAAAGAGGAAAAGATCTGTAGTTTACCCAAGCAACTGGGACCAGCTTTTCTGCACAGGGTTTCAGGAAGGAAGCAGGAGAGGAGGGAAGGACATTGCTCCCTGGAGGGCCAGGCTGTGCTTCCAGCTCGTGTGTGGAATTTTTCAATGTCCTTTTTAAAAATTCCTCCCAAAGAGAGTTTGTGGAGTGGCACAGATATCTGTGGAGATAAGGGAATGTGCTTTTCTGTTACTCTGGTGAATTCCTCCATGAATGGTGTTTGTCAGCAGTGGCTCTGAAGGACTGTCAACACTTAAATTAGAATAAAATGGGTTTTTTTAAAATGAAAATTATTGGGAAAACAGGCTGCTGAGCATCTTTGTCAACCAAGATGTGTGCTCTTGCAATAASTAAATTTGTTTGAAGGGTTGTTTTGAACTACTGGCATCTGAACAAATGCCTCTATCATCTTAAAAAGACTGTAATTCATCTGTTGGTAATGAATTACTGCTCTCAGTTGAAGCTTTGATAGAAAGGAGAAATTTAGGAGCAGGAAAATCTCCAGCAGATCGTGGTATTGGGCTCTGCTGGCTGAATATCTTTGAATAAATGGGGTTTAGTTGCCAGGATGAATCTTAAAATTTGTATTTTACAAAGTGAGGTTCTACTCCAGGGTCTGTTGATAGTTTTGCCTCAGAATTTAGAGTTTTGGCCTCTCAGACTCTTTTTCTCAAACAGAGATAAGGCTCCTGCAGAGATACATCTTACTTCCAGTTCTCCAGGGCAGCTGGAGAAAGGAAACAGCAGAGCAGCATGTGGGAGGGGTGAGATTTCTTGGGAATGAATATGTAACTCCCTTTATCAGCACACAAATTAGTATTTTCCTCCAGGAATAGAACAGGAAATTATTTCCCTTCAAAGCTCTGAGGTGGTCACAAGCTGGCTTAATTGCAGTCTTTCTTTATGCTAATTGAATTTACCCTGAGGAGAAAAAACAGCAGAGGCTTTAAAACTTTTTTTTCGGGGGTGGAATTGATGGCCCAGCTCTTGGGAGAAGAATGTTGTTCACATTGCCTTTAAATTACCATCACATTTCTCTCTAGTGACTAATTCCCCCTGCTGAAGACCCTAATCCTTTATTGTCTYCTGTCATAAGGAATAATTTATTATCTCTCTCTCCCCGCCCATGTTGTCTTTCCAGTATTTTTCTCCTTCTTCCTTACAGTTTTTCAGACAAAAGTGGAGGAATTCAGTGCAGGACACAGGCTGTGGGAGTGCCATGGGTTTGTGCTGGTGTGGTGGTCCTTAGCATTCTTTGTTCCACATACTCAGCATCATCTTTCTCTTTCCCAGTACATCCCAATGGCCACTTTAACAGAAATATTCCCAGCTATTTTCCTGCCTTCCCACGAAGGCTATGTGGTGCAGGTCTCCTGGGCTGTGTTTTTTTCTGAGTGTGTGCATTATTTTATGTTGATTTTCTATTTTATCAGTTGCCTCTTAAAGTTCGTGGATTCTTATAGATGAARTCATGCTGATTTTTCATGCTTATTCATTGTCTTCTGTGATTTTTATTTCCTCCTGCTGCCCAAATCATTCCCAGTTTTTKGAGGTGCTGAGGAAGACAGGAGGTATTTTGCCTGCAGGGAAAGCTTTCCCCCCCTCAGTGTCTTGCTGTTCACTCATTACTGACATTTTGAAGCAACAAAGAAAGAAAATCACTTCTGGGCAGGGAAGGATTTCTGCTGAGGAMTCAGTGCTGGCTGCAGCTCCTTTGGGGACTGGATGGTTGGAAGGATTTGGCAGCAGGAGACAAAGGGGTTTCTCAGGAATRTTTTCTCAGGAGTGACAGGGAGAGCAGTAAGTGTTGGGGGCTGTGTCTGGCCTGGCTTTGGGATCTGCCCAAACACAAGGGAGATCTGTTCTGGATGTGGGACAGAGCTGTGCTTGTAGTGGTTGCTGTTGGAATTTGGTCCCACAGGAGCCATCTCCAGGCTGAACAGAACAGGAATTTGGTCAGCCTTGTGCAGAGGGACTGGTGTCTGCCCCTGCTGCCCTTGTGGGCTCCACTGAGGGACAGAAACATGGGAATTGTGTTGGGCATTAAATGCATTTTGTGCCTTTAGAGTAGATTTGTGTATGGGAGGTGAAGGATTTACAGGGAATTATCTTAGTGCCTTTCTACTCCTGAGTACAGTTTCCTGGTTCTCACCTTGGATTTAGACCAGAGTCCTTCTCTGCTTTGATTGTAAAAGATCTCTGAGCAGGTAGAATTTAAATCAATTTCTGATTTCAGCTCTTGAGTAGGACAAAGCGAGTTCCTAGGTTTGTTCTTGCTTTTAGGGAGGGAGGGATGGATGGATGGATGGATGGATGGATGGATGGATGGATGGATGGATGGATGGATGGATGGATGGATGGATGGATGGATGGATGGATGGATGGA